GAGAGGGGAAGGGAGAGGAAGGAGAGGACGGAAGGAAGAAGGAAAAGGAAGAAGGGAAGAAAGGAAAGAAAGAAAAAAAAAGAAAATGGAAGGAAGGAAGAAGGAAAAGGAAGAAGGGAAGAAAGGAAAGAAAGAACGAAAGAATGGAAAGGAAGGAAGAAGGAAAAGGAAAAAGGGAAGAAAGGAAAGAAAGAAACAAAAGAAAATTAAAAAAAGGAAAAGAGGAAAGAGAAGAAAAGGAAGGAAGGAAAAAAGGAAGGAAAGCAAGGAAGGCAGAAAAGGAAAAAAGGAAAGAAAAGAAAAAATAAGAGAAAAAAGGAAGGAAGGAAAAAAGGAAAGGAAGGCAGAAAAGAAAGGAAGAAAGAAGGAAAGAGAGAAAGAAAAGGAAAGAAGGAAAGAAAGGACAGGAAGAAAGGAAAAGAAAAAAGGAAGGAATGAAAAAGGAAAGGAAGGAAGGAAGAAGGCAAGGAAGGAAGGGAAAGGGGAAGGAAGGAAAGTAAGGAAGAAAGAAGAAAGGAAGAAAGAAGGAAAGAAAGAGAAAGAGAAAGAAAAGGAAAGAAGGAATGAGAGAAAACAGAAAATTAGCATTTCTGCAATGAGAAGATCTTCCTGCTGCTGCTGCCCCTCGGAGCGGACGCCGGGTGTGTTTTCTCCAGCCAGGGGTGCCGGGAGGTGGGAGTGCAGCAGTAAGCGATGGGCTGTGCGGCATGTGGCGTGGCACAGTGGGATGAGCTCAGCTGTGCCTCCAGCCCTGGGCATCGCTGGCACCGGGGCTGGGCTGGAGCAGGCCCAGGACATCACCAGAAGGTCCTCTGGGATGCAGCTGAATGACGGTCGGTGGCATGGGTGCAGGAGGGTCACCCCTCCGTGGGGACGGTGCAGCCATGCCAGCCAGGTCCCAGGCCCTCTCTCCCCTGCACGATGGTTTGGCTGTCTCTAGTGCGGATTTCCCCCCATTACATTTACACGCAGGACTTGGACAAGGTGGCTGGCCGTGAGCTGTGAGTGCCAGTGCCAGACATCCCACACAGTTCCTCGCCCACCGCAGCCTTGCTCCGTGTGCCGTTGGAGCAGGGCTGCGACTCGCACCCCCTGTGCTGGGCAGGTCTCGTCTGGACACCAGCTTTTTGGTTCCCAGTCGCATCCACAGCCATGTCTGGGTTTCCCACAGATAACTGAGCAGCCACATCAGGAACACGCTGCTGACGGTGCACCATGACACGCAGAAACCCTGCTGGGGCCAAACCAGCCCCAGGTTCAGCTTCCATGTGGAGCAGAGGCTGGAAAAGCCACTTTACCTGTGTCCCTTGCTGCGTCCCACAGGGCAAAACCTCTGCGGGGCCATCCAGCCCTTCCCCACCACCTCCCAGTCCCTCCCAGTGCCGCCAGGCCCTCCAGCCCTCCACCACCTCCCAGTCCCTCCCAGCACAGCGGTCATACAGCACAAAGCCTTCGCCCCGCCGGGGCAGCATTGCCCAGTCTCCAAAGCAAACCAGCAGCGTTACGCGTCCATTCCCTGGATGCTCTGAAACAGCAGAAATGGGGAGAGGCGAGGACGGCTCCGGCAGCCAGGCAGGGTGAAGGTCTCGCTGCTCGGGCACCAGCAGGACCTGCTGTGCTCCGGACAATACCGAGGGGCAGGTTTTGCTCCCGTGGTTTTGCTGCCAGCCCCGGCCAGCCCGGCCGCGCAGGCGTGCTGGGGCAGCGATGCCCACCCGGGAGCCCTGGCCCCCGCCCAGCTCGTGGGCAGCAGCATCCCACGGGACCCCAGCTGCCTCCGCGGCTGGGGGGGGGCGAAGGGAGGAAGCCATAGGCTGCCTTCGGATCCCATTTCCTTCCAGTTCAGTTTGAAACCTCTTCAAAAACACCCTCGTAGACCAGTCGGGCTTAGCCTGCCCGAGCTCACCTGCAGTGCACCCATGCAGTCAGAGGTGTCTATTTTTGTAGTTCAATATTTATATACTATATTAAAATGCTTTTACGAAATTCTCAGCAACAGTCCCTAGGCCAGCTCTTTGGTAAAAATAAACCCCAAAGCATACGAGCTGCGCTAGCAAGACAGAAATTAGCAGCTTTTGTACCTTTTCTTTGGCGGTGATGTGAGTAGTCAGGCTTCGGAGGTCAAGACCCCTCCTGCTCCCCCCAGGGCACCCTCGAGGGCTGGGACCCCCCCACTCCTCAGCTCCTACTGTGGTCTCTAATGCACCCCTGAGTTTGGGAAGAAGCCCAGCAAAGCTGCGCATGGGCAGGTCCCCCCTAACAGGGGCCCAGGGAGCGGTCACCCTGGCTGAAACCCTGCAGGGGTGTGCAGCTCCTGGGGGTGAAGGCAAAGCCCTAAGGGGAAGTTTTTGCAGCCCCTGACATGTCGGGAGCTGCTGCCTTGGGGGCACAGAGCCCAGCAGAGCCCCCACCAGCTCCCGCCTGTCCTCTCCAACTGTTGCCCCCCCACAGAAGGCTGCAAAGAGCCCGGACAGGGTACTCACATCCCATGGCTGCGATGCGTTGCATGCCCAGACTGCCTTCCCGAGGGGGTGGAGGGGCAGCGTGGGGCGCGTTGGTGATGCCCAGCTGCGGGATGTGCACCCGGGTCCAGTGGCAAAAGGGAGAAGAGCCCCACGCCTGGCTCTCGGCAAGGCTGCGTGACACTTCCCGCCTGTTTTCCGCGGCAAAGTGGTTTAATGCCGGCTGTGCCCGTGGCCCCGCTCTGGGCGAGCAGGGGGTGGTGGGGGCCCTGCTTGTCGCCCGCCCCCGCGGAGGCAGAGCGGGGCGGCGAGGGACAGTTCCCACTGTGTGGCACAGGCAGCACCCCGGGGTGCGGTGTGGCGGCCACACGGTGCCCGGCGGTGTCACGCAGGCGAGGGGCCGTTTGGGCTTTGGAAAGAGCTGTCTGCCTCAGGTTCAGAGAGGTTCTGCTGAGGATTCCTCTCTGTTCTCTCTTAACGTGACAGAGGGTAACGCGTGTCTCTGCGCTGTTTGGCTGTTCCTTTAGCTGTGGTGTGCACAGCGGCTTTCCCCGCTCCTTCCTAGACAATCCTGATAGACGGAGGATGTTGCATTTTTATGATAAAATCCGTGATAAGATCATGGTGTTCGTGACTGACCTGAGCATTAATAAGGGGAGGGAGAGGTGTGATCCTTCTTCTATGTAAATACCTTCCTACCAATCGTCATTTTTAGTGCCTAGTATGTAAATGAAGCAACCCTGTCTGAGCTGCGGGATCCTGTCCTCTTCACTGCTAATTAGCAGCTTGCTCAAGGAGGTGGTCTCATTTCCAGTCCCCCAATTGCTTCTCCCTTCTCCCGGTGCTCCCTGGGGTCTGTGGGCAGCTGGGCCGGCCCTGAGCCTCCGCAGCAGAGCTGCCGGCAGCGAGGGGGGTCGGTTCCCACAGGGAGGGACAGGGAGCACCCCAGTTCCCCCCTTCGTGCCCACGTAACGTGCTTGGAAATGAGTTGTCGGGGCAAGCCCTGCGCTTTTCCCCGGGGACCCGTGCCTCGCGGTGGGAAAGATTGGGTCCTGCACGCTGTACCTGCTTCAGCCACTGCTGCTTTTCTTGGGGGGGAGGGAGGCTCTAGAGATACTATAAATACACGTATATATATACACACACACATACACGCACTTGTTTTGAAGGGAAAACACTGTATGATTGTAATAGAAATGATGTTGAGATAAATTATTTTAATCTTTGTATTTATATAAAATGATCAAAGAGATCAAAATGATAAAAAAAAAAAAGAACAAAAAGACAGCGTTCCTATTTTTTAATGAATAGGCCGCTGATAGCCCCAGGGAGCGTCGAGAGCCCGGGCGGTGCCCGCCCTCCCCTCCCTGGGCACGGGGCTCGTACAGACCCCCGGGTCCTGGACTGTAAACCAGCCCTTAGCCTGTGAGGTGTAACAGGGCTCTGTAGGTGCATTTCGTCAGCGCTGCCAGACTCCTCAGGAGTCCAAAGGGTGCGCAGAGCTTCGACCTGCGCCGTGTACCTGACGCGCGTAGACCAAGGAGTGTAACCGCTGACACCTACGTGCTTTGTATGGAGCAAGCGATGTTTAATGTTGACTCGTAGAGCTTAATGATTAGACTGGAAATGGATGCATAGCAATAACGCTCGGTTGTTAAACAATGTCTTATGTCTATAAAACATAACGTGCTGTGAGCTTTCTGCGTGCAGACTGACAGCCGGGCGCCTCTCCTCAGCACCCCCCTTTCCTTCTGCAGCTCTGCAGAGCCTCATGGATTT